GTGTGTGTGTGTGTGTGTGTGTATGTGTGTGTACACACATGCATGCTCATGAGTGTTGGTAACCTTTCTCATCTTTGAGACACAACCCTATCTTTGATCCGCATCTCACTAGAGGCTCCTTTCCCTTCTCTATTGATTGTGGCACCTGGAGTAATGTAACTAAATTGCAGTTTTCCTTTGCAGGCTGGGTGCTCCTGAACCAGGGGAGTGAGTTATGTGTGTTCAAGTGCTACATCTTCAGAATCTTGTTAAGCTTTGCCATCTTCTAGCCCCACTGATGGAATATTTAATCTCTGAAATGAGTTGGCTGGTATGATATACAGTGTGGGGAAGCCCTGTGCTGTGGATCTTACCTGCAATTGAGGATCAGAACGCTGCTATTTGTCAGTACCACTACGACAGCTTTGAATAATCTTCTGTTTTTTATTTATTTTCCTTCACTTATTATGAAGATTAAAGGTATATTGAATCAACAGTTTTATTGGATAGATATCATCTCAAAAACCACTACATTTTTATTTAAAAGTGGTGAGGATTTTTTTGCACAAGTGTGTATGTGGGTGCACATTATACACATGAATTTATATTTGTGTATGTACATGTAGAGGTAATAGTAGAGCCTCAAGAGTTGTTCCTCAGAAACTATCTACCTTGTTTTATTTTGAAACTGGGGAATGTGGCTTGAGAAGTAGGCTAGACTGACTGGCTGTAAGGTCCAGGACTCCATCTTTGTCTTCTTCACCAAGCAGTGATTATAGGCTCATGCCAGGATCTCTTGAATTTTAACTCTGGTTCTGGGAATTGCACTCAGGGCCTCAGGTGTGCACGCCAAACACTTTCCCAGTTGAGTTACCTCCCCCATCTCAAAATGTCTTATTAGAAATGGCAAAAACATCTCTTTGTGGACAGGGGTATGTTAAGAATCTTTAAATGTGCATTCTTTATTCCAATTCCTAGACATGTTCTTTCTAATTATACCCAGTAACTCGAGGCATACTAATGAGAGCAGATACCCACATATATCCTATTTCTATTAGCACCCCAAATTTTATTTAAAAACCAAGATGTTGGGGGCATACATATTGGTCAAAATCTTCCTGACCTATCTGTGCCTCAATTGACTTATCAATCATTTGTCTTGAGAATAAACCTCATAGGGTCTGAAGATAATTAGACATGGGGAAATAATCGATACTGCTTAGCTTTATATGAAAACACCCACCTGTCTTTGGAGAAGATTTATATCTGTTCCTAGAATATGCAGATTTATGTATATTTGCTTCACCACACTTGTATTCAAAAAGAATTTAAAATAGTTCGTAGTATGACTGAAGGAGAAACCGCGAAAAAAATAAAAACTCTGAAATGAAAAACCTTTTAAAACAGCTTTCTAAATGCTTCCCAGGATGTGTCTGTGTGCATGCAAATGTCATAATCTATCAAAGCAAATTAATACTGTTCAGCTAGTAATTAAAGGTCTTCATTAAGAAGTGTGCCCTTCCTCCCCACCCCCACCTAACATCAGCAATAAAAATGCACTGGGGGGCACCAGAAGGTTCTATAGGAAAATCAATAACTTGCCATTTTATAATTAAAAGAGAAAATAAATGTTAGGGGAAAGTCCACTAAATTAGGAAAATTACCTTTAGAAGAGATTGAAAATATTGATTTTAATTTACAAAATCTGTGAACTTTCCATGCCCCATTTTGAGAGACAATTGGAGGCTGGGTGGTTCTTTCTGCATAAGCTAGAAAAAAATCAATAATTATGCAAGGGGAGTGTCATGAAATCTGTCATGAACAGATCTTAGACTGAGAAATGACTAATGAGTCTGGCTTTCCATCTTGGACACACATAGAGATGACCTATGAAATATCCAAAGGAAGCTAATGGGAAGGTTTTCCTTCCCCTCGAAGGGGAGGCACCCTCCAAATTGTAGGAGAAAGCTAGTTTATTTTCTCAGCAAGCGAAGCTAGAATGCTTCATAAATTCCTAGTCATGGGTATGTAGCTGGAAGGTGTGGGTCGTCATGCCCAGACCTTACACTTGCATGGGTCATCATGCCCAGACCTCACACTTGTGTGGTGCTTTGACAACTGAGCTCATGCCTTGGCCTCCTTTTGTGTTGTGTTTTTAAAAACCAGGGTTTCAATGTACTAGGGTTTCAGTTTCTAACCCATTCCCATCTCAGACTCAAGTTGATGCTGTTGGCCTCAGCGTCCCGAGAACATGTGCTTCCATGCCAGGTTTCTTGTTTTGAAAAACAAACAAATTGTAATGTATTGGGAAAAAAATCTCATAGATTATTTAGGTTATTTAGGTTTCTTCATGGCTGCCCTCACACAACCAAGTCATATACCCAACTGTGGTGGTGGTGCTAGAACAATCTAGAATGATCAGGTGGCGTCTTTTTCACTTCGCTGGTTTGGATTTAGAACAGTGGGATGAACGCCATGTGGAGACATGAAAATAAAGAATTAATATTTATAAAAATACAATAAAACCATGGAATCCACTTTCAAAGGACTAAGCCCCTGGGATTGATCAGAACCCCCTTTGTGTTTTAATTTGCAAAACTGCCACAAGGTTTTTATATATCTATGTATAGAAAGTGCTTAGAAGAGGCCAGCCCACAGAAAATACTGAATACACATTACCCTCCAAATTTACTCTCCTCTCTCCTGGATACCTCTCTGTTGAGGCTGGCCCTTTAGGCAGTTTCAAATAATGCTCTGAGGCTATTGAAGAAAAGCAGATTCTTTCACACTTGCATATGTAAGCCAGTCTAACCCTATTTTTGTGTTCTTCAAAGTCAGAAGGCATGCACTCTGGAAAAGCATCCCAAATAAAGGAGATTGTTGATCTTGATGAGTTGAGGCAAGAATGACCATTAGGAAGGGGAAATTATACATTTCTCTCAGATCATGCCCGTATTTGCTCCAAATTACACAAGGAAATACTTCCTGTGTCTTGCTCCTGTGTTCAGGTCTTCTCCCCCAGACAGGCACATACCATAAACATTCACAAGTCTAGAGAACCTGCCATTGCCTTGGATCAGATGCTGCAGGTTTGTGACGGCCTGTGCAGGTGTGTGGAAGCCAGATCTTCACTAATCTTTTTGGGAGATTTTGTATATCTGCGACTTTGGACAAGATACACCCCATCTCGCTCCTGCACAGATGGCCATGCCCTTAAACCCAGACATTAACATCCCCAGTAGACATGCTAAGGATGCACAGGCAAGTCCTCTTCCAAGTTATGAAAACAATCTGAGGCTGACAGTGTACTCAGATCTCATCAGGAGCAGCTGATAACATGTCTGACTCCCATTATGACACAAGGGTTAAATATCAACTTGCTCGTTTTTGTTTAACAAACATTTCTATGGTCCTGAATAAGTAACCAAGGCTTCATATACCCCTTCCATATATTCTAATGAACTTGATGCTACCATAATCCCTATTTGAAAGATAAAGAAATTGAAGCACAAAGAGGTTCAATGACTTGTCCAGAGTCACACATCTGGCAAAAATTTGGCCTGTCTGGTTCATCTTTCATGTTCCTTAGCCTCCTGTGTGTCATCTTAGGATGTAGGAGGCACAGTATAATTGTTGAGAAGCCTTGGAGCCAAGTGTGTCCTCCCCTATAAGAGTAAACAAAGCTACTGTATGGTGGTGCAATCCCTAGACTTAACCTGCACTCTCACGGGAAGAGGAATCAGAAGCATAGAGTTGAAATAGACATTTTATCTACTGTATGGTCCCTCACCTGATTTATCCTTTGTTTCATTTTTAGTTTGGTTCGTGTGTTAGATTAGCTACTCTCTTCCTTTCACATCCTCCAGGAGTGATAGTTAGTCTCAGAAAAAGGACAGGAGTTGGGCAACTGGAAGAAATGAACTGAGATTTACTGTCACCAGTAAGTGGGTGGCTCAGATCAATTGATCACTAACTGTAAATGCTTCAGAAGAAGTTTTCCATAGTAAGGTTCCTTTCTCACACCATGAGGTACTAGGCCTTCAAGACAGCATTGATGATAAAGCCTCAAGATCAATGGCAGGATAATTCTTGCTATCAAAGCAAGGGCTCTAAGCTGTGGATGCTTCTAGCTCCCTCTCCTGATTTGCTCACTGAGTTGTCTGAGTCAGCATATTTCTCTACTAAGGGGTAGTTGATACTCACACAGGGAAGAGAGGAGGAGAGAGACATATATATAGCAAAGTAGAGAGGAATGGACTTGCTAAGCCAAATCAATTCATGTAGAAAGACCTAAGTTATTTTTTTCCTCCTAACTTTTACCTAAGCTCTATCTTGGAAACTCAGTTTACACATTGCTGAAGTGATGGACTCAGGCCTCTGCTTTATTAGGAAAGGAAAGCAGCTAGAACAGAAATGTGTAGTTAACGAGTGCATGGGTTGGCACTACATTAAAATGGGTATAAGCTACCACCCATCTGTCCAATGTACATCGCCCTAATTCTTTCCTATGGCAAATCCATGTGAAATGTCACCAGGAGCAGAGCCCCATGCTTACTTCACAAGGTCATTAGTGACTCTCCTTCAGTTACTGAAGAGTTTAAAATGCTCTTGGTTTTGTCCAAAGACATCAATGAGAATGTGTTAGGGTGCAATTACTGGTTTGGACTGAGCTGCAAAACTCATGATTTGAGGGACAGGCAAAGCACATTTAGAGAAAACCAAGCAACACTTTGGCGTGCAAAGCAAAGTTCCTTACCTGCATAGAAGTCGGGGCTGTAGACCGCGCCCACAACTGGATTTAATTTCCAGCCTTAAAATAAGCACAGAAGGATTACATCACATTTGAGTCAGGAACTTCTATCCCTTCGGGAAACCACAGTAAAAACAGACTGAGAGAGTGTGCTAGCTTGTGTTTGAAATTTCAAAGCTATGGAAGTTGAACATGCACAACATCCTTTGCAGATGGGGGCAGGGTGGGGGGCAGGGACAGCATCTATGGTTTTGATTTTCTGCTAGTGCTGGGGAATGGAGAACTACTGACCGGCTACAGGTGAACCTTGTGAAAAAGACAGGATTTATTTTCAACCACATCAGAAAATCCAGTATCATAATTTCAGCTTTTGTCTTATTTCATATAACATCATTGGATAATCCATCATATAGTGCCTGTATTAAAGTTATAGATATTTAAAAGCTTTCATAAACAGAACTCTTTGAGGGAAAGTACTCTGACAATTAGTGTTCCTGATTATGACCTCTAGATAGTAGAGAATTCCAATTCTCAGCTGTGTGCTTTGTGAATAACAGAGGCAATGTTAGTTTATCCCCTTGAGATCTGGCAGAGAATACATTTTAATGCATCCAAGAAGCATAAAACCTCAAGCAGTGCTAAATACTGAAGGTAACTTTCAAATCATCTCTCTATAACATTAACAGTATTCTCTAGTTTTCTAAATGTTTTAGATAGAACAAACCCTTAAATATGAACTTTTGCTTCTTAGGACTTGTTGAATCAAGAAGAAAGAACACAAAACAACCATAAGCTAAAAATAGCATTATAGACCTGTTAGATTTTTCATTTTTCCTTTTCTTTTCTTTCCTTTTCCTTCTATTTTTGGGGGTATGTGTGTGGGGAAACCTTGAGGTATTTCATAACATACAAAAGAATGCATATGCCTCAGAGAATGTGATTGGCTCTGATATTCCTAGTAAATCTCTACGGAAATTTCAATAGTAGAGTTGTTTTCAAGACAGTGTCTATGTACCCTTGGAGTTTTACGTAGCTTGGGCCGGACTTGAACTCATTATGTAACTTAGAATGACTAAATTTTTGATCATCCTGCTTCCTACTCTGGAATACTGAGATTATAGGTTTGGGATACCATATCCAGTTTAGGATGTGATGGGTTTGGATTTAGTAATTCATGGATGTCAAGTATACATTTTTCCAAATGAGCTCCATCCATCCTGTGGGCCTATGTTTCTCAGATCTAGGGCCAAACGCCAAACACCTTTCCACAACGGACCTGAGAAATAGAAATGGCTTGTATCTGAGTGCTGTGGTAGTTTGGGCAAGACATGCTCCCTATGAACTTCTCTGTTTGTCCAAACATCTGGCCCCTAGAAAGTGGTGTTGTTTTAGGAGGCTGAATAGCTTTTGGGAAGTTGGGCCTAGCTGGAGGCAAGGGAATACTTGGTCTCAGACCTTAAGGTATTTCATGTTGGAGAGGTTGACTATCTACAACATGAAAGCCTAATTAAGTCATCCTCAATTAAGGTCTCAATGACTGTGCTACATCCATGATTATCTCTGGCCTTTTCTTCTAAACAAGGCTACCCACTCCCAGACAGGGAGCTTAAATATCTTTTTGGATCTTATGCTTGCACTGGATGCTACCTTCACCTCTCCCTTCACCTCTGAAGCTTGACTCTCTTTTAGTCTTCCCCTTCAGCCAATGGTACTTCTAACAATCGAGTCATTTAAAATGCTGCCTGATAGTTGCTACCTTATCTTCATATCTCATACAATCCATTAAAAAGTACTTCAATAAACTTCAGGGAGTGCCTTCCTTCTTTACAATTTGTTTCTTACCAGACAAGAGTTATAGCAAAGCAACATAAAGCAAAACAATAATTAAAAAATACCCCGTGGCTGGAGAGATAGCTCAGTGTATTTCTCAGGCAGAGTAATGAAGTTCAATTGCCAGCACCCATGTTATATAGATCACAAAGTTCTAGAACTCCAGCCCCAGGGGGATCTGGCATTTTCTTAGGCCCTTTGCAAGCATCTACACTTGCATCCACTTAATCTATATACCCACACTCACGAGCAGCCACTCATGTGCACACACATACACACAACTAAAAACTAATAACTTTAAACAATGAAAGATAAAAGACCCCATTTATTCTCTCTTCCTCTACATTCATTCTATTCACAATGGCCAAAAGGTATGTAAGAAACCAACTACTTGCTCTGTCCTGCTACTCCAAACTCTATATCTTTCTGGATTCAGGGTAAGGACAGACTTATAGACATGGACTACAAGACCATGTAGTCTAACCATGGTCCATTCACTTTGCACTACCACCCCCATGTCTCCAAGATATAGAGTGTTGATCTTTTTAATCGGAAAACTACCAAGGCTAACTGAACATCCAGAGACTTCCTGTCCTTGCATGGGGAAATCTTCCCAATTCTTTCCCAAGTGTCTGGGTATTGGCTGGGTCTCCAGTTCCTTTCAAAAACATAATATTAAAAGTCATTCTCCTGCCTTGTCTTATGAGCACTCATTGATTCATTTTCCAGTTATATTTCTGCATAGCTGCTAACAGTATCTAAATCTATTTTCTCTTTTCTTTCCTTTCCTTTTATTCCGCTCCCTTCATTTCTTCCTCTCATTTGTTTTCTCTTGCACTCTCATTACTGAAAGTAAATGGAGGGGACACTGCCAAGCACAGTCCTAGGCACTTAATGCACTTGACAGATACCCAATATTCCTACCCATAAAAATTAATAGATGACTAAACAGGTACAGTAAATATGTCATAAAATGTATCCTGCAAGCAAAATCTGAATATTCTGTTAATATTTAAACTAGTCACTTTATCAATAAATAGGATAATTGATAATCAAAAAAAAATACTCACTATTCCATACACATGGACTTAGTCTTATTCTAAAGAAATCAAAAGGTACAAAGAGCTTTTCCTATCTTCCTTTAAATGGTCTCATTTCCCTCTGGCTAGGATTTGGTCTTCTTCTGCTTTCCAGAAGTCAAAGGTTCTACATGCAATGAAGGACCTGTTAAGGTCTGCCATCTTCCAGTGAAGGCAATGAGAATTGCCCTTGAAAGTCACCTCAGAGAAGAATTGCTCAGACTCACAGACTTCAAGAAGACTTATGTAAATGTATGCAAATCACACGCAAATGGCCTTATCCTTTCTGTGGCTCCTTCTTGTACCTGGAAGAGACCCCTGGGATAACCTTGCTAGAAGTACAAGCCTGCACTGTCAGGAAGATGGACAAAATGATCCTGATTTTAATTTCTGAGACAGTTTATGTATGTCCCCAGGCTTAGAAAACTCTGAGATTTTCATCAGGGACATTAAGTCGAACAATGAGGCTTACAAAAAAGAGAAAAGCAGATAAAGCCTACCACTCCCAGCCTCCTAGGGCCCCATCCAACAAGGCAATGGAGCAAAGCCCAGGCAGGCTCCAGGAGCTTTGTCCCTCTGAGTTCAGTCTTCAGGGAGCCCCATCGAATCAGACTCCCCGCCTCCCTGAAATGTAGCTTGTCCAGGCTTATGTACTAGCCTGCTTCAGAAAATGCTGGACAAGATCCCTGGTGTACAAGCCTTGCTCTAACGAATGTAATAAAACTTTAGAAAATGACCTTCACATATTCTAAACAGAGACCTCATAGATCAAATGGAGCAAGAAGCCACATCCAAGATGACAAAGCATTTATTCATACATTGGGCACATGTGTTGTGTTCTTATATACATTGAGTCATTCTTTATTTTTTTTATTTGCTAACAACATACCAACATATAGATTTCACCTAAAGAGTTGGATTTCTGGTTCTCATGAAACATTGGAAGAAATGGCACCTTTATGTTAGGAATCCCTTCAGATAGCTTTATTACAGGTGACCAAAGTTAACTGCTCAGACAATAACAGCCAGTCAAAACTCCCAACTGTGGCCATCTGTTATCAACTGTACTGTTCTGTATACTCAGAGAGAAATCTCTTGTTTCATGTAATAAACACACAAAAGATAAATGTTTTAGACTGACTTTAGGTCAGGCCTGTCATTCTAGATGTTTGGGGTAGCCCGAGGCAGGAAAAGTCTCAAGTTCAAAGCCTACTATGATTACAGCCAACAATGAGTTAAAAGGCCAGGGTGAGCAACTTAAGTAACACCTTGTTTCCAAATGAGAAGTAATAATGAAGCTGAGAGGGAGTTCAGTGGTAGAGACTGATGATAAACAAAAGGAAGCTAGCAGATATGGGCTGTGGAAACGTTGCTTTGTGGTCGTGGCAGGGCTGTAGCACTCATGGACCTGCACAACAACAAGCCTCTAAATATTCAACCAAAAATAGCAAGGAGTGCATAGGAGCTTATGGAAGCTGGAGGAAATCATGGTCTTCTGTTGAAGCCACTGTTACATTACTCCAGCTCCAGTAGGCAGTTCCACACTCATATCCAAACAAGTGGCCTTGAGTGTGCCCAAGCAGTGTGGCCTTGAATCAAACCAAACCAAAAACAAAAAGGCAAGGGAGTGGGACAGATGGTGGGATACTTGGTGGGAGGGCAGGGTGGGGCAAGGCTAAGAGGGAATAAGGATGGGTGTGACCAGAATGTACTAAATATATGAATGAGACTATCAAAGAATAAACAAATAAACAATCAAATATACCAAACAATGCAAAAACAAGAGTGAATTTCTCAGACTCTTTTCTCATTTGTTTCCCTTGCTTAGCGGCTCATTTAACATCTTAATCTTGGCTCCTACAACCCAGCCAGAAAGAATGAATGAGATCTCCATTTGAGACTGAGGCTTCTCTGTAATCACAGACCATTGCTCCACAGGCTGACAGTCAAGCCAAGGACACTGTTTCTACCTTGCATCTTTGTGGAGCGTTACTTCCTTGGAAGATCCCAGTTACCTAGGGTGTTGGTTCCAATGTATGTCCATCTCCACTGTACAGACTCATGCAGGGAGAATTTGAATAGCTTGAATACATGTCAGCAGTCACTAGCAGAGCTCACACCAGAAGCAAAGACTTCCTATCTCCATGATTATGCATTTTTGCCCAATTTCAGTCTTGTAAAACTTTCTAAAGAAATACAAATCCTATCTAACAGCCATGCTTTGCCAACTTTTAGAAAATCCCTCCAAATCCAGTTCTCAATTTGTTATTCAATGTACAGAGCCCACTTCTTTTACCCTCGCCCTATCTATCCACAGACATGCTTTTAGAAGGAGGAGGAGGAGGAGGAGGAGGAGG